CTCACGACCGATCAAGGTCAACAGTTTGAAGCGCAGCTCTTCTCAGCCCTTCTCAAACTAATCGGATGCAAACGCATTCGTACCACGGCTTATCACCCTGCCGCTAATGGCATGATCAAGCGTTGGCACCGCACCTTCAAGGCGGCGATTATGTGCCACAACACGCCGAGCTGGGTGGATGTCCTCCCTACAGTATTACTCGGGTTACGCACTCATGTGCGTATGGACACAAAAGCCTCTCCGGCCGAATTTTTGTATGTCACGGTATTGCGGATTCCGGGAGAATTTTTCCTCCAAGAGGATTTTACGCCGGATCCCCAAATTTTCGTAGATGATTTTCGACAGCACATGCGTCGGGTGAAGCCAGTACCGGTGGCACACCATTACAAAAAGCGCGTTTTCCAATTTAAGGAGCTGCCAACATGTTCGCACGTCTTCCTCCGTAAGGACGCTGTTAAAAAGCCTTTGGAACGGCCTTATTCGGGTCCCTTCAAAGTGCTTGAAAGAACATCAGATAAAGTCTACAATATCGAAATTAACGGCAGACCCACGGCCGTATCGATAGAACGTCTTAAGCCTGCCCACTTTATACCAGACGACCTTCCGATCGCTAACGATCCGTCCACTTCCGACGCTACGGACAAGCCTTCTGCTTCGTCAAGCGCTCAGTCAGGTACCTTAAAAACGTATACGGGTCCTAAAAAAAGGGTACAAATTAGGCTAGACAAAAACACTGTACGTACATCTCCGCGCTAGTCAAGTCTCGACACGGAAACGTACAGGTGGTATTCCATTGCGCGTAAAAGTATATATTCTCCGTTTTCCATTTTTGATTATATCAGTTTTCATCCTGGTCACGGTCGCGTATTCTTTTCATTTTATGTACATCCTGCGTATGCGTTAGTCTGTAAGCAGCGGTACTGTAATATTCTAAGTACAAGTATTTATACATCCTGCGTATGCGTTAGTCTTTAAGCAGCGGTATAGTATCCACGTTATAATATATATATCGGGTTCATTGCAATGTACATCCTGCGTATACATTTTCTTTAGTTTTAAGCAGCGGTACTTTTGTAATTCTGTGCAATACATCCTGCGTATGCGTTAGTCTATAAGTAGCGGTATTGTTAACTATGTTCCTACACCCTGCATTATAATAAGCAGCGGCAGTATTATAACAGTCAGTGTTCTTTGTGATACATCCTGCGTATACACCCTAGTTTTAAGCAGCGGTATTATATTTCCTCCTGCAATATTCAATGTGATATTCGGCGGCGCCGATTATGTGTGATAGACACTCAGTGTCATACCAAATACTATATTGTATTTTATTTTCTCTCCAGCGTTAGCACTCGGGGGGGAGTGTGTGGCGACTAGTAGTTGCCCATCTATACAACGACTTAGTTCATGGTCGTTGGTGGCGCTGTCCGGCAGGACAGAACATTGTAACAGTCGTTCTCTACCTCGCGCACGGTCACGACAGGCCATCGTGACGTGCCTTGGTACTCTTGAATAAAGTCTATATTATATTCCTACGAGTGATTATTAATTGTCGCCTTGCCGAGAAACCAGCCTACGGCAGTAGAAGCTTGTGGCGCTTCAGCCGAGGCTTACGCAGATATATTTAAGCCCACAGTATCTCGCGCGTCGCTCCACCTCTCGCTCATCGATCGATTTTCTTAAATGCCTTCCAAGTCCGGCCTACCGTATTCTGCATCCTCATTCGCTCAGACGTATAAATTAATTACTCGATAACTATTGTTACTTTTGTACCGCGGTACATGATATTTCTCCTTAGTTTAACCCAATCTACCACTATTTTCAAGTTGGCTACTTTTGCATCAGACACCCTGTATAACAACGGATATTTATACAAACTACTCGTAGTTGCTTTAGTATTAGTTTTTGATTAAAAAATGTTATATTTCTTAAAAAATCAAACTAAAGATTTTCTTGGAAGAAATAATGGAGTTAATGATAATAAAACACCGATGAAAAGAATAGCAACTATTTAGAAAGAGTGACTGTAAAAATCGCCCATTTCGCGGCCCTCGATTTCGGGATCGATTTATATGCGAATCAACTCCTTATGATAAAATATGAATAGAAAAAAAGTTTCAGCTTGGATGGTGATATTTAGTTTTAGAGATTTGAGAGTTCAAAGTTATCAGGATGAATCTTAATCATAGACATGAGAGATGGATTACCGACTGCAATTTTAGTTCACCGAACGGCACAAGAGGGCAGCTGCTTAGATCTCAGGGATGTTGCAGTCAAGTTGAAAACTTGTTCCACTTACAGATATCACGCGGAGAAAAATAATTTGCTAGCACAGTATATCTTATGTAAATTTAAGTAAAGAGTGACTGTAAAAATCGCCTCTTTTGCGGCCCTCGATTTCGGGATTGATTCATATGCGAATCAACTCCTTATGATAAGATATTAATAGAAAAAAAGTTACAACTTGAGGTGACATTTGTAAATGTCACCTCAAGTTGAAACTTTTGTTCTATTAATTTATTAAGTTTACATAAGATATACTGTACTAGCAAATTATTTTTCTCCGCGTGATATCTGTAAGTGGAACAAGTTTTCAACTTGACTGCAACATCCCTGAGATCTAAGCAGCTGCCCTCTTGTGCCGTTCGGTGAACTAAAATTGCAGTCGGTAATCCACCTCTCATGTCTATGATTAAGATTCATCCTGATAACTTTGAACTCTCAAATCTCTAAAACTAAATATCACCATCCAAGCTGAAACTTTTTTTCTATTCATATTTTATCATAAGGAGTTGATTCGCATATGAATCGAGGGCCGCGAAATGGGCGATTTTTACAGTCACTCTTTCTAAATAGTTGCTATTCTTTTCATCGGTGTTTTATTATCATTAACTCCATTATTTCTTCCAATAAAATCTTTAGTCTGATTTTTTAAGAAATATAACATTTTTTAATCTAAAATTAATACTAAAGCAACTAGTTTGTATAAATATTCGTTGTTATATTTGGCGCAATTTGTTGATATCATTACTTTTGTAGAGAAGATAGTTTTGTAGAGAAGATATTTTTGTAGAAAATATACTTTTGCGAAAAAGATAGAGTAACAAAATATATTCGGTTGAATTGGAGTTCATACTTGGTGCTTTTCTTACCTTCTTTTTAAAAAGTCTGCTTTACCCGAGTACAGGTATGTCCTGTTTAATAAACTTTTTTTTGCAAAAAGGGGGGATGGAGCGGGGAGAGGTGGGACGGTGTAGGAGGGGGAGGCGGTAGGAGGGGGTGGGGCGCGTGCAGCGCGCCGTGCTAAACGCACTTGCAACTTACGTGTTTATGAAAATTTTTAATAACTTTTTAACGAACCACGAGCGATGGCTAAAACCTTCTGAAGGTCTCAGGAGGGTGACCTTAATAACATATGTCAAGGTCAAGGTCATCGGGGCTGGCCCCTCATCGGTATATTTACCCAAAACTGGCCGACAGAGCGGTCTTTTACATCCGATTCCACCGGGCGAGCGACCCTTCGCGGTGATTCATATCGATCACACAGTACCTTTTGTAACGTCAAAGAAAGGAAATAAGTATATTCTAGCAATTATCGATAATCTAACGAAATATGTGATACTTCATCCTGCAAAGGATACTAAAGCGAACGGCGTGATACGTGCATTGGAGAAGTTAGTGCAGGACTTCGGAGCGCCGCACAGTGGTTCCAAATCCCAAAAACCTGGCCAAAATATGAAGGCGTTCTTCAATTTGAATGAAACTTGGTATACTAAGATTATCGAGGTCGCTGATTACGAATCAAAAGTCAAAATGACAAATAACACAATGGTGGATTCAATATGGCGGATATGAACGTTAAAAAGACGTTTAAAAAACGAAAATAGATACATTTTGTTATGACCATTAATTATAAATTTGAAATAAAATAAAGATATTTTCAATTTTTGTATATGCTGTAGTCGCATTTTCGTTTAAATAATCCTACAATAAAAAAATCTCCTTTCTTAATAAACTAATTTTATCGGTATTATCTGCAGATTCTAAAATATTAAAATATATACTGCTTTTAATATGAATTTAATATTTTATTCTGTAATTAAAAATAAAATATTCATGAGAAACTTTTTAGAACATTAAAATATTTAATCTCTAAGGTATTTGTATTTTTCATCACAAAAACTTGCAAAAAACCGGAGGGGCAGCTATGGGCAGCTAGTTTTTGTTTATTTTATTAAATAACAGTATAAGCTACAATCCACAATAAGTTTTTTTTTACAGAACTCTGCAGAACTCATAACTTCTTCTCTAAATTTCTATAAATTTCTCATGTAATTTCAGATAAATTTTAACAAACTATATGTATAATATCCTAATTTATATATTATTAATAAAATATTTGAAATATATGTTCATATTCTACGTACTTTCAACTGAAGGATCCATTTTATAAAATTCAAATCGGTGAAACGTGCAAATTTTGGTATACTTTTAAACACAACGTTACTTTCTCTTTGCGTGCGTACGAGATGCTACTCATTCGAAAGTCATTTTTGTGATGGCTGTATGGAAGCAGGTATAAACAATTCTCTCTACATAACTTCGGTTAAGGGGACCGCCTACATTAGAGGGTCAAAAATATCGATATTTTTTTTTTGCTTAAATTGAAAGTATATCATCTGTAGAATATGCCCCCAAAGTTTAAAGTCCGAATTCGAACTGTAAACAGTCGAAATATAATATATAGTGCGCGTGCTCCGAGCGCTCCGAGCGCTACGAGCAGAGCGGCAGGTGAGAATCTCCAACGGACGGGAGGGGAAGGGATCCTGGCTGTTGTATTTATTGTGCTCTTGCTCATTGCTCTGCTCTTGTGCTGGGAATATTGATAAATTATCGTGATTTTGTCAACATGGCTTCGTATCCGAAAGGTGAAAAAGAAGATTCGTTTCGTTCATCAAGACCAAAAAGAAGACGTTTTCACCGATGCTCTTATTTAAAAAATGACGAAGTATTACGGCCTTGCTATAATGAGAAATAGCGACTCTGTTGAGGATATGCAGAGAAATGTAATGGCAACATATTGGCATATGGTCTCAACAGATGAGAATCCGAAACATGAAAATTGCCCCGCAGGAGAAGACAGCTGGTGTAAATTTCGTGTTGCAGAGAGCCGTAGACTTGAATACACCCACCCACCACCTTTGGATGCTACAGTAGCTAAATATATTTTCCCGATATTTGAAGATCTTTCAAGGAAAGATTTACTTGAGAGGTGCTTAGGCGGACACACACAGAATGCAAACGAAAGCTTCAACGCGACGGTTTGGCGACTGGCACCAAAACATCTTCATTGCGGCCGTAAAATAATTGAAATCGCCGCTTGGATCGCCGCTGGGATTTTTAACGAAGGCTATTTGTCAGTCCTAAGGATTATGTCAAGCATGGACATCACTATTGGGTCAGTTTGCCGCGAAATGGCTTCGAGAAATGATGAAAACCGGACGAAAAGCCAGGAACGCCGCAGCAGATCACTTGGGCAGCCAGCAACAAAACTCGTAAAACAACAAGAATTACAAAGGAATGAACTGTTTGAAGAAGAAGAGGGACTTTCTTATGGAGCAGGGATAGCAGATTGACCAAAAAGTTAAGGTAAATAAACGATAAAAAATTTTTATCGACTATTTTTCATGTACGAAAACTTTAAACGCGTTTTTCTCGAAACGATGTTTTTCAAATTGGCGTGCACGATTACTCAAAAACTACTGGACGGATCGACTTTTTTTTTTAAATTAAAGCTTATTTAATTACCTTCTATTTGAACTAAAAAAATCAGTAAAAATTATTGCCAAAAAAAAGTTATTAACAAAAAAACACGAAAATTTTCCACAAAAAATCAATTTTATTGTTTAAACAACAATTTTTTTTATTTATTTTAATAAATTCATGATTTTTTTTAGTTCAAATAGAAGCTATATTCATAAACTTTACAAAAATGTTTTATTTTTATGATTCAGATGATTCTATGGGACGCTATCCTGCACGCCGTGGAGAAGGAATTTTCAAAGGCATCAGCATTCAATTATTAATAACTTTTATTTAAACTTATGAAATTTAATAAAAAATTTTTTTTTATAAACCTTTTGATATACATAAAAAACAGTAAAAATTTCTAAACAATCCATTGTGTAGTTTCTTTGTAAAAAATTCACGAAAAAGTGCTTGATTTTGACCTCCTAATGTAGGCGGTCCCCTTAATGACATTTCAACCTTCCCTTTACCCAATCTAACAGTCAAAATCCCCTAGATTGAAACTTTATTTTTCGACTTTTGGCCAGCTTTTTGGGATTTGGAACCACTGTGCGCCGCGTAAAATTATATCCGACCGGGGGAGATACTTCATTGACGACCGCTTCACCGAATTCTGTAGAACACATGGAATCCATCATACCCTGAACTCCCCACGACATCCACAGGCCAATAGTCAGAGAGGGTGAACTTCACTCTTATTCCAATACTTCAAGCGAGTCTACGGTATGACGAAGCGGTCGAGACGAAGACGAGACTGGGACTGTCGTCTACTCGAGGTCCAATGTCATCTCAATGATACCCCTAATGCAACAACGGGAAAAAGTGCCTTCGAGTTACTCTACGGCTACCAAGCACGAAGAAATGAGGGAGAACTCCGAAAGGTTACGGACGAGAGTGTCTCGTACACGCCACCTGTAGAGCTGCAGCGGGCAGCGCGAGATAGAATCATTATCGAGCAACAGAGGTTGAAGAAACTTTATGATCAAAATCGAGCGAAAAACGTCCGATTCAAGGGAGATATAGTTTACATGCGAGAAGCTCCGATCGCCACCGGCGGGAGCACGAAGCTACAGCGGAAATATCGAGGGTCGTTGATAGTTACGCAAGAAACGCATGAGGACACTTACAAAGTGGCTGACCTGCGTCAAGACGAGCCAGGGCGACAATATGCCTCTACGGCACACGCGAGCCAATTGAAGATCTGGCGACCACTGGATGACGAAGCGTCTGACGATGAGGCAGATGACGTAGAGTCTCTGTTGGAAGCATCTACGAGCGAAGATAGAAATCTGAGTCGAGAGAAGGAGAAAAAGCGAGATCGAGAGGACGAAGAGGCCGTGAGAGCCCAAGGTGAGAAACCACAGGACAAGGTGGAGAGTGCCGAGAACCCGCAGCCGCGGCGTTCAAAAAGGGAGAGACGCTAGCCCGCACATTTGTGAGATTTCGCGACAGCGTTACCCGAGGACGAGTAATTAGCAGAATGGCTGAGTGATAACGAGCGAATAGTGAGTGAGAGAGAGATAGAGAGATGAGCGTGCAATGGCGGTGGCCAATAACCGAGCGAGATGGTTAGAGCCAATGAGCGAGCGAGCGAGATTGACGAGAGCGTGAGAGTGGGAGAGAGGGAAGGGGGTAACAAAGTCGGGAGTGAGTGTGCGAGAGATCGAGCGAGGGCGAACCCGTGCAACAGGAGAGCGTAGGTAGAACAGCGAGGACTGACGTGTAGTACTGATTTGTAATGAGATTAAAGGACCTTTTCCAACCCTAATACGGTTTACCGAGTTCCGATTCTTGCGAGCCTGACGCGACGACAGCCTGAGTGTGTGGTTCTGGGACAAAGCTCGTTCGAGCGAGAGACATAGACAACTAAACCTAGTTAACATTATTAATATTAATATTATTTCCTTTATTTCTTCCGATAAAATTTTATGCTTGATATTGTTCGATAATATTCTAATATAAAAAATATAGATAGAACACGAACTTTAAGGCTGGTCTACAATACGTGGAGTAAGCCGGGAGTAAGGAGTACGAGTAGGAGTAACGATCTTGGCGTAAGATGCTTACAACAGTTTCATCTACAACGGCGGTGTAAGCGTCGAAATTCAGTTAAGGAAAGGATTTAACAGAAGAGGTTAATATTGTCACTTGTCACGATGGCTTCTTATAAACTAATTTTAACAAGTTTATTTGTAATTACGTCGTACTACCACTTAACATTAATGTGGCAACGATTAAAACGAAGAGGACGAGGTTATGGAAAAAGAAGGTGGTGGGTTCGTCCCATAAATCGATCTAAGGATGAACAAGGTTTCCGAATAAATCTTGTCAGAGAAATGGAAAATGAAGATCACGAAGAGTTTTTTAAAAATTTTCGCATGTGACCGGAACACTTCAATTGGCTGCTAGACAGAGTACGAGATAAATTACAAAAACGAAGCAAGAGGATTCCATTGGATCCCAAGTTGCGACTACAAGTGACACTCTTGTAACTGTGGAGAAAATTAATTTATGTTTAATTATGCCGAAATTTATATATGCTTAAGACACAACATTTATCACCATTAAATTACTTATAGAGGTATCTGGCACAGGGAGATTCCATTCTTAGTAAGCACACGGAATTCAGCATAGGAAAATGAACTGTGTATAAAATTATACCTGAAACCTGCCAAGCAATTTGGGATGCATTGCAATCAATTTTTCTTCCAACTAGGGATAAAAATTTATGGAAAAGCGTCGCAGATGAATTCATGGATAAGTGGCAGTTTCCTAATTGTCTCGGTTCCATTGACGGAAAACACATCCGGATCAAAGCTCCTCCTATGTTAGGGTCCGAATTTTATAATTATAAGAATTTTTTAGTATTGTGCTTATGGGTGCTTGTGATGCCAATTACAAGTTTACGTGGGTAGATATTGGACAATATGGTATGTATCATATCTAACTGTAATAATTTAAAATGTATATTATTGTAAATGAATGTACAGACATAACGTTATATTTTTATTTGCAGGATCAATTAGTGATGGTGGCGTCTGGAGCAATACAGATTTTATGCAGGCTCTGGAAGAGGGAACAGTTGATTTGCCGACACCTACTCCACTTCCTGGTGCAGATGGATCTGAGCCGTTTCCATACGTATTTGTCGCAGATGAAGCGTTCCCATTGTCGACATATAGCATTTAAAACTGTTTTTCAGAATATTTGGAAAAATACAAATCGGATTAAAAAAAGTTGCAATAAAAGTTGTTCACCTCGAAGAGGGACATCCATTAACATAAAGCTCGACCCCCTGCACCACCCCCGGGGGCGGGAGGGGGGTGACTTTGAAATCTTAAATAGAAACCCCTATTTTGTATTGCAGATTTGGATTCTCCGTGAAAAAATATGTAACTTTTGTATGAGACATTTTTCTCGTTTCATGATAGATGGCGCTGTAATCGGCAACAATGAAAATGTTTGGAAACAGAGGATGCGACAGCGCTAGCGTGGGCATGCGGCCCCAAAGCGCCGAAGTTCCTCTCGCCTCGTTTCGAGAGTTGACGCGTCACCCCGAGGGCTCGCGCCGAGCCGCGCGTGCGCCAACCAACGGCGCTCGCTGCGCGAATCGCGGTGGTCCTGTCCTTCGCGGCCAACCCGGCGATGCCCGTTGAAATTGAAGACTGTTTATTATTATCTTTCGTCTCGAAGTCAAATTCAACGAGTCATCGGCTGGAACATTCGCGAAAGGACGGGCCAAAAAAAGGAGCGCACCCGAGCTCGATACCAGTCTTTGTGAGGACGTGCTCGATAGGGGTAACTCGCAGCCGGTGCTCCGATACTCGCGCGACAATCGCTAACCAGCACGACTCGCTGCATTGTACAATCTCAGGTGAAAATTAAACCTGTTGTTACGTTCTTCTCAAAACATCTCTATTATTACTCCTCCGTCACAAACACTCTTCCTATCCTCACCGCTGAACCAGCTATCACGCA